TATTACTAATGTTTATTCAGGGACTTCCCTCAATGAGATCTATAAAATCTTTGTGTCTTTGTGTATCCAGCCACTGAAGTCTCTGCCTGATTAGTTGAGTCACCACATAATGAATGGATGTACATTTCCTTAAATACCTTGATTCGGTAAATCTCCCATCCTTCGTTGAAGGAATCTGTGTCTATGTATGTGCTTGTGTGTGTGTGTTGGACACACCTTCAATGCTCGGATTATCTGACAGGTTGTTTACAACTTTACCTTCAATTCTTTCTTACCTAGAGCTTCTAAGCCATCAGAAGTGAAAGCATGGGGCCTTCTCAGATCTTCTTGAGATAAAACAGCACAACAATCCTGTAAGTGCCTGTAGCCTTGCACAAAAAGGCAACCGACCCGCTAAACTCCCAAGATTATATCGGAGCTTTATAAAAGCCTCAAGAGAAAGCTTATTCCCCAGTTTTTCATTCTAAGTTTTTGGTCAGCCACTTGTCTGCCCAGCTGGCATCACTACCTCAGGAAGTGGCAATAGGAAGTGATTATCTTCTGACCTTATTATTTTATTTTTTTTTGGACAGAAGCCCTCAGTGGAAGGGTTGTTTACCCAGAGAAAGCTCTGAGTCAGATCAATGAAGACAGATTCTGAGAATGGAGGTTTTAAGCGGGCATCCACACAGAGCAAGTAGTGACAGTCCTCTGGAGATGGGCTTTGAGGTGGTTCTGATCACATTCTGACCCTCCAGTGATTTGTTGTTTTTGTTTGTGGTTTTTTCTTTTTTTGAGACAGAGTTTCACTCTTGTTACCCAGGCTGGAGTGCAATGGCGGATCTCGGCTCACTGCAACCTCCGCCTCCTGGGTTCAGGCAATTCTCCTGCCTCAGCCTCCTGAGTAGCTGGGATTACAGGCACGCACCACCATGCCTAGCTAATTTTTTGTATTTTTAGTAGAGACGGGATTTCACCATGTTGACCAGGATGGTCTCGATCTCTTGACCTCGTGATCCACCCGCCTTGGCCTCCCAAAGTGCTGGGATTACAGGCTTGAGCTTTGTTTGTATTTTGTTTGAATAGATAACATCATTGTGTGGCACTTGGTTTTCAAGGCTACTGTAACACTGATGGAGATAGGTAGAATTAGGACACACTGAAATGTTACAAAGTTTGCTCTTCTTACTGGCATTTCTTAACAGTTACTTTTCTTAAATAAACGCTCCTTGAAGTGTTGCAAACCTTTAATTTCCAAAGCTCTGAAACGCTGGATTTTGATAAATTTTGCCACAATTTATTTTAATTGCTTTCATGAAATAACAGATATTTGAGGTTATTGCCGGATCCTGGCTAAAGTCAAGAGGAGCCTGAGAATGACCAGCATCACCAGTGCCAGTGAGGCCAGCCCCAAGCATGGGCCTGAGCCGGGAGCTAGGGACTCCGCAGAGGCCTGCCCACCCATCAAGGCCAGCTGCAGCCTCAGCAGGCACGAGACAAGGCCCAAGTCACTGAACCTCCCTCCTTGAGACCAAGTACCACAGAGACCCCCAGAAAGGCTTCAAGCCCAGGACCAGGACCCCAGAGGAGAGGCTGAAGTGGCCCCACGAGGAGGTAGGACTCGGCTGTCCCAGAGAAGGGAGCAGAGGGATCTGAGAGCAAGGGACCTGACTCTGCATCTCTTCTTACAGAGGTGCTGATCCATCATGAGAGCTCCACCCACCTGACCTAATTACCTCTCAAGGGCTTCACCTCCTAACACCATTATATTGGAGGCTAGGATTTCAACATATACATTTTGAAGGGGCACAGACATTCAGTCCATAATACATAGAAAGTAATTTCTTAAATAAAGTACTGAAAGTGGCTGGGCGTGGTGGTTCATGCCTGTAATCTCAGAACTTTGGGAGGCTGAAGCAGGAAGATTGCTTGAGCCCAGGACTTCCAGACCAGCCAGGGTAACATAATAAGACTCTCTCTCTCTCTGTCTCTCTCTCTCCACACACACACACACACACACACACACACACACACACACAAAATTGGCTGGTTGGTCCACTGCGTGCCTGTAGTCCTGGCTACTCAGGAGGCTAAGGAGGGAGGATCACTGGAGGCCAGGAATTTGAGGCTGCAGTGAGCTACAATTGAGCGACTGCACTCCTGCCTGGGTAGCAAAGTGAGACTCTGTCTCAAAAGAAAAAAATATTAAAAGCATAAGCTCAAAAAAAAGGTGATAGATTTGATTTCACTAAAGTATTTAGACTTCTATTCAAATAATCATACCACAAACAAAGTTTAAAGAGAAACCATAGATCAGGAGCAGGTATTTGCAGTTCATATAATCAACAAAGGATATATATGTAGAATATTTAAGGAATTCTTATAAACTAATATTTTTAAAAGTCAGTCAACCAAAAGAAAAGTGGGCAAACAATATGAACATACAATTCATAGGAAAAAAACTTGGTCAGGCACGGTGGTTCCTGCCTGTGATCCCAGCACTTTGGTAGGCCAAGGTGGGAGGATCACCTGAGGTCACGAGTTTGAAACTAGCCTGGCCAACATGGTGAAACTTTGTCTCCATTAAAAACACAAAAATTAGCTGGCCATGATGGCACATGCCTGTAATCCAAGGTACTTGGGAGGCTGAGGCTTGAGAATCATTTGAACCCAGTAGGCGGAGGTTGTACCACTGTACAGCAGCCTGGGAAGCAGAGCAAGAGTTCATCTCAAAAAAAAAAAAAAAAAAAGAAAGAAAGAAAAGGAAACTTGAATGATCTCATCTGCAAACATAGTAAGAGGTTTAGCATGAATAGGAATGAGGGAACTGGACACAGAAATGACAAGGAGAGGCTGGACACAGTGGCTCATGCTTATAATCCCAGGACTTTGGGAGGCCACAGCAGGTGGATCACGAGGTCAAGAGATGGAGACCATCCTGGCCAACATGGTGAAAACCCGTCACTACTAAAAATACAAAAAATTCCCCAGGTGTGGTGGTGCGTGTCTGTAGTCCTAGCTTCTTGAGGGACTGTGGCAGGAGAATTGCTTGAAACCAGAAAACGGAAGTCGCAGTGAGTTGGGATCACGACACTGCACTCCAGCCTGGTTATAGAGGGAGACTTTGTCTCAAAACAAAAAAGGAGAGGAAGTTAGTATTAAGAGGTGGAGCCTTTAGGGCCTTTAAGCAGTGATGAAGTCATAAGGGTGGGTCCTCATGGATGTGATTAGTGCCTTATAAAAGGGCTTGTGGGTAATGGTGAATCTGTTCCTTCTGCCGCATAAGAACATATTGTTTTATTATTCTGAGACATGGTCTCACTCTGTTGCCCACGCTGGAATACAGTGGCACAATCACTGCTCAGTGCAGCGTCAGCCTCCTGGGCTCAAGTGATCCTCCCACCACAGCCTCCTAAGTAGCTAGGACCACAGCTATGCCACCACACCTGGCTAATTTATGAATTTTTTGTGGAAATAGGGGTCTCAATATGTTGCCTAGGCTGGCCTCAAACTCATTGACTCAAGGAGCCCTCTTGTCTTGGCCTCCCAAAGTGCTGGGATTACAAGTGTGAGCCACTGTGCCTGGCAGTTCATTTTATTTTGGAAGCCCTGTAATAGCAAGTACCAGTGAGGATGTGGAGCAGCAGGAGCACTCATCAGCTGCTGCTGGGGATGCAAACTGATGCTGCCAGTTTGGAGAGAAATTAATGTTGTATCTTGAAGTCAAATATACTCTTGTTCAATGCCCAGCCCTTCCACTTCCCAGTGTGGGCTCCAGAGAGACTCACACATTTACATGGTGGTAATGTTTATAATCACCCTCATATAGTGACAATTGGAAACCAAAACAAAAAAATGTTCAGAGGAAGGCAGTCCAAGGCTCTTGTCAGTTTCCTGATACTTCCTTAACCTTGTAGCTTTTGTTTTTGTGGTTACAATGTGGCTGCTGTTTTTCCAGGCCTTGGATTGCATTCCTGGGAGGGAAAGAGGGAAGGTTCAAAGGCAAGTCTGTCTCTTTTTAGCTGAAAAACAGAGATTTCTCAAAAGTTTTAAGATTATACTTCAATTTTTATCTTTCGGCTGCAAATAAGTTGTGTCACTCTTCTCAGCTGCAGGAGTGTTTAACGGGGCGTGTTGCCTCCTCTCTGTTAGCTCAGTTTTCAAATTTATGAATAGGTACTGAATTTTATCAATTGCTTTCTTTCTTTCTTGATTAAGCATTTTTTCTTACCTTTTTATGTTGATATGGTAACTTACAGTGATTGGCTTTTGAATGTTAATTAACGTTGCATTTCTGGTAAATCAACTTGGTTGTGATGTATGATGAACACCATTTTAGATGTGGTTGAAATGGGTTTGCTCATAGTTTATTTGGTAATTTTGTACTTATGTTCACAAGAGGAAGTGGAGTGTAAGTTTCCTTTCTGGTGATGTCCTGTTAGGTTTCAATAAGAAATATTAAGGCTATGCTGTTGAAACAATTTGGAAAATGTTTCTTCTCCTATTTCTGACAGAAGATGTGTACCATTTCTTCCTTAAGCATTTGGAAAGAATTCACTTATTAAGCCATGTGAGACTGTAGTTTTCTTTATAAGGCTTTTAGTTACAGATTCAATTACATCTATATGACTATTCATTTTGGTAAGCCGTGTTTGCTGAATCAGTTTGTTCATTTAATCTCAAATTTCAAAGTTGTTCTAATATTCATTTTTTTTTTTTTTGAGACAGAGTCTTGTTCTGTCGCCAAGCTGGAGTGCAGTGGCACAATCTCAGCTCATTGCAACCTCGGCCTCCCAGGTTCCAGCGATTCTCTCCCACCTCAGCCTTCCGCCTAGTAGCTGGGACTGCAGGTGCACACCACCACACCCAGCTAATTTTTTGTGTTTTTAGTAGAGACGGGGTTTCACCATGTTAGCCAGGATGTTCTCCATCTCCCAACCTGGTGATCTGCCCGCCTAGGCCTCCTAAAGTGCTGGGATTACAGGCGGGAGCCACCACGCCCGGCCTCATTCATCTTTTTTTTTGAGACAGAGTTTCGCTCTTGTTACCCAGGCTGGAGTGCAATGGCGCGATCTCGGCTGACTGCAACCTCTGCCTCCTGGTTCAAGCAATTCTCCTGCCTCAGCTTCCTGAGTAGCTGGGAATACAGGCACCTGCCACCACGTCAGGCGTGAGCCACCGTGGCCGGCCCTACCTCTTTAATTTTTTTTTGAGACAGAGTCTTGCTCTGTCTCCAGGCACCAGGCTGGAGTACAGTGGCGCAATCCCGGCTCACTGTCCACCTCTGCCTCCCAGGTTCAAGCAGTTCTCCTGCCTCAGCCTCCCGAGTAGCTGGGACTACAGGCGCGTGCCACCACGTCCAGCTAATTTTTGTATTTTAACGGAGACAGGGTTTCACTGTGTTGGCCAGGATGGTCTTGATTTCTTGACCTTGTGATCCGCCCGCCTCGGCCTCCCAAAGTGCTGGGATTACAGGCGTGAGCTATCGCGCCTGGCCTCTTCGTTAATTTTTTAACCCATTTAATGGCTTCCCCACAGTTCTGGGATTGCCCTCCAGAAGTGCTGGATTACAGGCGGGTGTTCGGGGCGCCGCGCCTTCCAAAGTTGGGGCTCCAGCCCCAGTTCCGGAGACCAGCTCGAGAACCGGGTCCCGGGTGCACCCACCCGCTCTGCCAACTGTCCCAGGGCCATGGGGCTCAGGGCCTCCCGCACGCCCTGCAAGGTCGCAGCTTTATCTTTCCCCTCTTCCCACCGCTCACGGTCCCCGGGAAGCTTTTCCCGCTCCAGTGATTCAAGAGGCGAACCAGCCCCTCTGGTGAGGGGAAGTGGCCGGGCGGGGGCGGCGGGTCCAGGGGCCGCAGGTGAGTGCGCGTGCGCCCGTCAGAGGCGGCCCTGCGGGCTTGCCGTAGGCCGCTTCGGGGACGCGCGCGCCGCCCTTTACGTTGGGGGCTCGTTAGCAGTTGCCGGCCGTCAGTAGTTGAGGTGTGCGGCTACGCGCGGGCTCGTCAGGAGTTGGACTTCACGGGCTGAGGGAGCGGCGGCGGGAGTCTCAGGCAGCGTCCTGGAACAGCCTGCGCCCTGGCCAGGTAAGCTGGGGGACCTGGGCTGCCTGACTCGCTGGCTCTACCCACGGTGTAGACGGTTGCGTACCCAGACGAGGCGGGGGTGGTGTGGAACCTGCGGCTAGAGCGTTCCGAGCGTTGTCCTCTGGACTCGGCGGGGTGGCGGACCTGCGGGGCTGGAGGCGGCCGTTGCTGGGATCTTGGGGTGCAGCCCCGCGACCCTACTCCTCTCGGGCGGCCCCTTCCCCCTACCACGACAGGCAGGCGGGTGCAGCGGGGACCGGACGGCGGCTCTCGAATCCCGGGCAGGGGGCACCGCAGCAAAGGGCCACCGGGCGCCGGCAAGAGGCGCTGTCTGAGGGTGCCCGGGCGCCCGCTCGGGTCCCGCTGGACTGGCCGGGCCGCGGGTGCGTTCCGTGGCCCCTCTTGGCGCATGCATGAAGTCCCGGGTGCCGGGCGGCAACTGGGTTGGGGTCGCCTATGGGTTCGCTGCCCTCAGGGAACCCGAGCCCGGATCTTCATCCTCTTCCCTTTTCCTTTATAATAAAGCCCAGAGAGAAAAACTTCTCAAACACCCCGTCGCCTCTGGGCTGCAGGCTCCGGGTTGGGGGCGCGGCGCGGACCTGTCCCGCGGCCGGGCCCCTTCCCCATGGCAGGCATTGCCTGGCAAGGCTGCTGGTGGGAGGTTTGGCCGCAGATGGTGAAGGAGAATATTGAGGCCCCCGGTCCCCAAGCAGGGCTTTACGGGCCGGGCAGCGGGCCTCGATGTGCCCAGGCCTGGGCGAACTTTTTTTCCTGGCCCGATGCAGAGGGAGGATGAGGGTGAGGACACCTGCGAGGGGCCTGCCCTGCGGGACCACAGTGGAGAGCAGAGCCTTAGAGGGGCCTGCCAGTGTTACCTTAGTATTCACTGGAAGGAGGAAGGCTTATTTTTTCAGATCTATTTGGATAAGACCTGGCAGGCACCAGACGTAAATCTGTGGTTGAGCGCAGTCAGCTCCTAAATGGGCATGTGGAGGGTCAAGCACCCCAAACTCAGCACCAGGCGTCTGGAACTTTTTTTTGGTGGGGCTGAACTGTCTTTGGCCTCGTCAACCTTCTGTGCCTCTTTTTTTGTTGTTGTTATTTTTGTTCGTTTTGTTGTTGTTGTTGTTGTTTACTGTTTTCCGACCTTTTTGAGAAAGGGCAAATTTTAGAAATTAGGACTTGAGAGCTTTGCAGGTTGAAACGGGACAGGTTTTCCTAAGGTGCAGCTTGGTAGGTGCCGGGAGCCTGCAGGTGGCTTTTTCTCAGGCCTCCAGGTCAGGGTCTGTCCAGTGAGGTGAGGCAGGGGTTTCTCCTCAGATGTGGCCACGACGTAGGAGACAGAATCTGTGTTTCCCAGTCCGAAGCGTCCAGGATGCCCTTCCCTCTGCACTCACTCCTAGGTGACCTTGGGGGCTGCTTCCCCTGCAGCCTGGGCTAGAGAGGGTCTCCTGAACTTAGCATCTCCTAGGCAGGAGGGCTGGGGTGACATGGACATGGAACCTGCCGGGGCTCTGGGCAGTGTCCAGGGCGTGAGTGGTTAAAGCTGGAGCTTGCGGCTGTGTGCCGGCAGCCCTCCGTCGGTGGGTGCTAGCAGCACTGGCAGGGGGACCCTTGGAGTGGGCTCCATGGCTGGGCTGGGGCTGGGACTGGGTGATGGCACTAGTGATGGGGCACGGAGTCTTCCCTCTCATTTGTTAGGAAGAGAGGTCTGTGCCCCTCCTCACTGTCTGGCTCCTGGACTCCTGCGCTGGGAGAAGCTGCAGGCTGAGTCCCGTGGGATGAGTGTGTGTGAGCAGGAGAGGTGGAGTGGGCGCTGGAAGGAAGTAAAGCTCTTCCTTCCATCTCCCTCCAGCCCCTGGCAGCCACCATTCTACTGTCTTCTTTTTATGTTTTTCTGAGATGAAGTCTTGCTCTTGTTGCCCAGGCTGCAGTGCAGTGGCGTGATCTCAGCTCACCGCAACCTCTGGCTCCCGGGTTCAAGTGTTTCTCCTGCCTCAGCCTCCCGAGTAGCTGGTAGATTACAGGGTCCTGCCACCATGCCGGGCTAATTTTTTGTATATTTAGTAGAGATGGGGTTTCACTATGTTGGTCAGGCTAGTCTCGAACTCCTGACCTCAGGCGATCTAACTGCCTCGGCCTCCCAAAGTGCTGGATACAGGCATGAGCCACCGCACCCAGCCTCTACTTTCTGTCTCTGTGAGTTTGACGACTCTAGGTGCCACATCTTAGTGGAATCATAGTCATTTGTCTTTTTGCAACTGGCTTTCTTTCACTTTGCATGATGTCTTCAAGCCCCATTTGTGTTGTAGCATGCATCAGAATTTCCTTCCTTCTTAGGGCTGATTATTGTCCCCATTGTATGGATAGAGGACGTTTTGTTTGCTGTTCATCCCTCAGACATCGAGAATATCTCATAGTAGAAACAATCAAAGAAGCCTGTGAAGACTTTATCTTGGCCGCTCATGCTCCCTGCGTCTCCACTCTTTGTGCGGGTTGGATGGACAGCCTGAAGCTACCTGCTCATCCTGCATGGAGCAGATCGGCCAGTGCTGGGTGCAGAGGATGCAAACTGGAGCAGGAGCCAGTTCCTGCCCTCAAAGTGCGTCAGTGACATGGCATATTAGTGCCAGCCTATCCGGGGCTTTATAAAGTGAAAAAAAGGCCCTCTGTCCATCCTGAAGGCTTTGTGACCCCCAGCCTTCTAATGGATACTTCTGTGTTCCCAGAGTTAGGTGAGAGCTCTTGGAAGGATCTCTTTTACCCCAAGTCCGCTAAGAATGGAAAGCCCCTCTGCGTGACTGTGACTGCAGTAGCTGGTGTGATATCTGGTCACTTGCACCAGAGCCTGGGAGTTTGTGGCCTGCCAAGCGCACCTGTCATAATGGGATGCCAATAAATATTATCTGAGGTTGATACCCAGAAAGAGAGTTTAAAAAATATTTAGAGAGGTAGAAAATAGCCACCAGTAGAATTAAAATTAGAAATAATGACAAGGTTGGCCAGTGGAGTTGGTAAGTCCAGATTGGGGAATGTGATGTTTCATTATAAGCTCTTTCAGCATGCGCTTACTTTGGTGTAAGTGAAAGAATTGTCTCACTTTTTTGAGGGCCATGTACAGCAAAGGACTCACCATCTATCAGACACACTGGTCAGTTTTCCTGGCAAGGCAGAGTTGGAGGTTTCTGTCCTCGGGCGGGCAGGGACAGCAGCTCTCCCTAAAGTATCCAGCAGCGCCAGGGGCAGGAAATGAGAAGTGCTCAATGATTGTTGGGATAATGGCATCTAGCACAAGGATTCCTGCCAAAATCTAATAGTGGCTGGGTGTGGTGGCTCATGCCTGTAATCCCAGCACTTTGGGAGGCCAAGGCAGGTGGATCACTTGAGGTCAGGAATTCAAGACCAGCCTGGCCAACATGGTGAAACCCCATCTTTACCTAAAAAAAAAAAAAAAAAAAAAATCAGCTGGGCATGGTGGCATGGACCTGTAATCCCAGCTACTTGGGAGGCTGTGGCAGAAGAATTGATTGAACCTAGGAGGCAGAGATCGCCCCACTGCTCTCCAGGCTGGGGGACAGAACAAGACTGTCTAAAAACAAAACAAAACAAAACAAAAAACACACAAACAAAACCAACCTTAATGGTGTGCAATAAATTAAAATGCTGCCCCAGTCAGATGGGGCTAGCATTTTTCAGCAACTTTCAAGGTTGTGTGTCATAGGAATGAAGATCTCAGCATTTCCCACCCATGGAGGGGTTGATGGAATTTTCAATCCCAGGAACCCTGGGCTGTGCTGAAAGCCTCCACTCACACTGCCTGGGTTAGTTGGGAAAGAGACCTCCTGCCGATCTCTTTTAAACTGTCGTCCTTTTATACCACAGTAGTTGCTTTCCTAGACATTAGAACTGTTTCTGGGTTTAACATCATCTTTGGAAATTCTAAAAAGCAATGAAGCGATTTTTCTCTTTTTTTTTTGAGACAGAGTTTCGCTGTTGTTGCCCAAGCTGGAGTGCAATGATGTGATCTCAGCTCACTGCAACCTCTGCCTCCTAGGTTCAAGCGATTCTCCTGCCTCAGCTTCCTGAATAGCTGGGATTAAAGGCGTGTGCCACCACACCCCGCTAATTTTTATTTTTTTATTTTTACTAGAAATGGGGTTTTAGCATGTTAGCCGGGCTGCTCTCGAACTCCTGATCTCAGATGATCTGCCTGCCATACAGTTTGAAATTTTATTCTCTCTCTCTCTTTTTTTTTTTTTTTTTTTTTTGAGACGGAGTTTCGCTCGTTACCCAGGCTGGAGTGCAATGGCGCGATCTCAGCTCACCGCAACCTCCGCCTCCTGGGTTCAGGCAATTCTTCTGCCTCAGCCTCCTGAGTAGCTGGGATTACAGGCACAGGCCACCGTGCTCAGCTAATTTTTTGTATTTTTAGTAGAGACAGAGTTTCACCATGTTGTCCAGGATGGTCTCGATCTCTTGACCTCGTGATCCACCCACCTCGGCCTCCCAAAGTGCTGGGATTACAGGCTTGAGCCACTGCGCCCGGCTGAAATTTTATTTTCATATCAGTTCTAGTAGTGTGTTTGACATAGTTTTTATTAAATGGCCTGATATGAAGTTATTTAAAAATTCAAATGTTTAGAAATTCAGGGCCCATCAACTTGATTTTTGGGGCAATACCTCAATTTCATACAGCCTCATTGTTTTCCAGAAACATGGGTCACTGAATGATTTATATTTTATGAATACTTTATGGGAAACAGTATTTATGGTCATAAATGGTAGACATCTTCTGGTAGTTGCAGTAAGAAATACTGGTTATATTAGAAAAAAAGCCATTATAAGTTGTGTTTTTAATGTTGACTTCCTGTAAGTGTCTTCTGGAGCAGAAGGCTTTCTGTTCATGGATTCTGCATCTTGGATTTGGAAACTGTGCTGCACTGAGGTGTGGTCTGTAGGGAGGAGCCTGTGGGCAGAACAGTTTGGGTTCTGCTGGCTGCCTTTCTACTCTATTCAGGGAGGCTGGGTCCCAGGGAAAGATGACAGCAGTTAGGTCTTGTTGGGAAGCAACCATGGCTACCACCACTGGACCATTTTGCTATCCCTCAACAAATGAGATAGTCGTTTGTCTGCTTTTGGGAATGGTGCCTGTGGTTTGCACAGGACAAGGTGGCAGCTGGCTTGCCTGCTGGCCTGCTTGGTAGAGATAAGATGCTCAGACCCACTGCTGCTGTTCAGGGGTCATGGAAGGAATTAATGCACTTCCCTCTGTCCCCCAATCTCATCTGCATGTCTCTGGAGCTGAGCATGTATTCATTTTCTTTCTTCATCTCAGTTGAGCTTTTACATTAAATATGTGTTGCTTAAGCCATTCAGAAATGTTTCATATTTGTAAAAACAAAAGGTAGCTGCTTCCATGATTCGTTCACCCATCCCTATACTACACCGTGGCCTTGTAGGACAGTCCCCCCTTTGCTGTGCTGAGCCCATCTGGAGTGTTTCTGGTTCTAATCAGAAATGGAATAGTTTCAGTGCAGATAAAAGTTTATGTTAGTGATGAACTTGGGTGGAGATGGTGACACAGCTTGTTCTCTCCTCCTCCTAGGCTCTTAGTGCATCCAGGATCCTGAGCTGCCAGGGGCCTGGCCACTCCTGCCCCAAGCCCTGCCTTGGCTGAGCTGGTCACTGCTGCGTGCCCTGGGCTGCCGGCCTGCCTGTCATCTGTGGTGCACAGGTATGCACGTGTGTGCATATGTACACGCACCCCACACATACCATGCCCACCTCACACACACCACACACATACCCCATACACACCACACACAACAAACACATCTACCCACCTCACACACCACACACTACATATATACCACGCCCACCTCACACCATACACACTTAGTCCATATACACCGCATACCACACATACACCATACCCACCTCACACATCACATCCATACCCCATACACAACACATATCATACCCACCTCACACACTACATATACATCATGCCAACCTCACACACCCCACACATTGAATCCATATACACCACACATGCTACACACATACCATACCCACCTCAAACACACCAGGCACATATCATGCCCACCTCACCCATACCACACACATACCCTATTCACAACACACATATCACACCTCACACACCACACACCACATATAAACCATGCCCACCTCACACACCGCACACATTTAACCCATATACACCACACAGAAATCATTTCCACCTAACACACATACCCCATACATGCCACACACAACACACATACATACCTCACACCACATATATACCATGCCTACGTCACACACACCAGACACTTAACCCATAGACACCACACATACATCATACCCACCTAACACACCACACATACCCACCTCACACACCACATATATACCATGCCTACCTCACACACACCATACACTTAACTCATATACACCACACACATCATACCCCCCACACATATCATACCCACCTCACACACCACACACCACATATACACCATGCCCACCTCATACACCCCACATTCAACCCGTATACACTGCACACACCACACACGTACCCCCTACACACCACATACATATCATAACCACCTGACACCCAACACATATATACCATGCCCACCTCACACATACTACGAACTTAACCCATATAAACCAGACATCACACACATACCCACCTCACACACACCACACACACCCCATATATACCACACACATATTATGTCCACCTCACAAATACCACACACATACTTCATACACACCATGCACTCTTCACACATACCATACATATGTATACCCCATACACACCATACACACCTAATATACATACAACACACATACCACACTCATCACACAATACCATACATACCCACATCATACACATTTCATATACACCACACACCCCATACATGCCCCTGCTACACACTTCATAAATGCCACATACACACCACACCACACTCCACATACATGTTACATCACCCATACAACATGCTACATTTCACACAGACAACTTATTCACACTACACAGATACCACACACACATCACAAACACTATACCATGTACATAAAACATGCATACACGCTCAACCCTTCCACGCTACATCACACTCCACATTCACATCACACACACCATATACCACACACCATAGATAGTAGACTCCACACACTCACTGCACCCTCCAGGATACCACCATATACACATACACAGCACACATTACCTACCCACTACACCAGACACACTGTATCTCACTCACACAGCACACAACTCTGCCACACATTTGCATGCAAACTACTCATTTTGCATTCAAACTACTCAAATGAAATTGATTTCGTTTTTCCCAAATTAATACTGCTCGTCCGTATGCCCCCAGCTGTCCTGGCTGGCGCATCCCCTGGTCCCGCCTTCCCTTCGGTCAGCACCACCTCCTGTGTTTCGGGTGTCTCTGGCTGTGCTCTGTGGCGTGCTCATGTCCTATTCACGTAGGAGGCTGGCCCGTCTGCTCAGTGGCCGCTTTTCTGGAGGAAACTGGCCTGTTTGCCACCTTCCTGATGCTCAGAGCAGCAGCTGATCAGGAAGTCCCGCTTCCTTCCCTTGGTGTCTGCCCTTTCCCACGGGATGCTTTTCTTAATTCTGACATCTCCCCAGCTAGAAAAGAGACCCCCAAAGGTGTGTGAGTGGGTTTGATTATAATGCTGGTGAATAATCAATGCATTTTGGTAAAAAACTCAACCAGTACATACGTCTTTAATAAAGTAAAATGTGCCTGGCCCCTCTGCTCCCACCTCTTTCCCCTTGCTTCCGCAGAGGACATGGCTGATAAGCCTTTGGGGGGCTCCCCCTTTCTGCATGTGTTTGGGTCCATGTATGGGCTGGTGAGTATGTGTGTATTCTCTAGACATCTTGACGGAGCTGGAACTGGGATCTACAGACGTACGCTGACTGTAGCTTACTTGCTGTTTTCCCTCCAAAACAGGCCTTTAAGATCCCTCACTGTAACGTGTGTTGCCCACTCTCTTTAAAAACGCCATTGACTCTTAGAGCATACAAACTCTGCCATAATTTTTTAACTGTTCTTTTATTTACTGGTACTTAGGTCATTTCCAGCTTTTTAAGATTGCTGCAATGAAAACCTTCAGCTGTCATTTTTCACGTTGCTGTGGGAGAATGTTGTGGTGGGTGCCATGGGGGTGAGTGACCCCATGCGTGACCAGGCTTTGTGAGGTTTTGACTCTGTCCTTCCCAATGTTCCTCCTACAGTGGCTGCCCCTGGGTGATGATGGCTGTGTGAGTGCCTGCCATGGCCCATCAGAAGTGTGGGAGCATGGGGAGCGGCATGTTGGACCACAGGGTGAAGCTGGGCCATCTCCCACGGCCAGAAACGAGGATGTGGAGCTGCCCTAGGGGAGCTAGGTGCCTAAGGGCCTGGAGCTGGCTGCCCTGTGGACAGAGATCACCATGCCCAAGGAGCAGGAGTTCCACAACCACAGCCCCAATGGGGACTCCAGCTCCAGCTATGTGAACAACACATCCTAAGAGGAGTACTACAACAAGGGCCTGCCTGAGGAGGAGGAGGGCATCACCTATATCTGCTACTGCCCCGAGGATGACAGCTACCTGGAGGGCATGGACTGCAATGGATAGGAGTACCTGGCCCATGGCGCACACCCTATGGACACCGACGAGTGCCAGGAGGCAGTGGAGGAGTGGGTGGACTTGGCAGGCCTGCACCCTCACAGTCACGGGGCTGAGGGAAACCAGAACTACCCAGACGGCCACCTGCCCATCCTGGAGGTTAAGCCCTCAGTCCTGGAGGCCCGTGACCAGGAAGAAGATGGCCACTTCTGTCCCAGCAAAGTAGGCTACCAGGACTGCAACCTCACGGAGACCAAGGGGAACACCAGTGAGTGCCTCCCTCTACCACCTGAGGTGTGGAGATGGGGACCTGGAGGACCAGGAGGAGGACATCAACCAGATTGTGGCTGAGATCAAGATGAGCCTGAGCATGGGCCTGAGCCACGGCCTGGGGACTCTGCAGAGGCCTGCTCGCCCAGCAAGGCCCCAGCAGGCATGAGACGAGGCCCAACTCACTGAACCTCCCTCCTGAGGCTAAGCACTGTGGAGACCCCCCAGAGAGGCTTCAAGCCCAAGACCAGGACCCCATAGGAGAGGCTGAAGTGGCCCCATGAGCAGGTAGGACTCTGGCAGTCTTGGGGAAGGGAGCAGAGGGGCCTGAGAGCAAGAAATCTCCCAGTACAGCCCCCGCAGATGTAGTTGTATCCACAGGTCTCATCAGAAGCAGACACAGACAGTCTTTCTAGGAAAGCATCTGTAACTTAAGCCTGTAGGATTCCCAGAGATTAAAAGTAGGCAACTATGAGTTCAGTCAAATCATAGCATTCAAGTAGTCCACCCAACATCTTTGAGAATTGTCAGAAATAATCAATAATAGATATGTTTCCCAAAGACTATAGGTTTTAGATACAGAACACAGAGTTCAGGTATCAGAAATCAGATACAGAACACCGAGTTCAGCTATTAGAAATGTGAGAAAATAGTTACACCTAATATAAGAAAGAAGGAATCATAAAATTGAGCAAGCAGTAGGACCATCAGGAATGATGAGAAGACCTGAAAAGAAAATGGATGAAATAGAACTTGCAGAAATAAAAGTATATAGCTGGGTATGGTGGTTCACACCTATAATCTCAGCACTTGGGGAGGCTGAGGCTGGAGGATGGCTTGAACCTAGGAGTTCAAGACCAGCTTGGTGAACATGGTGAGAACTCATTTCTACAAAAAATTAGAGCTCCCTTCCTCCCAAAAAAATTAGCTGGGTATGGGGCATGTGCCTATGGTTGTAGCTACTCAGGAGGCTGAGGTGGGAGGATCACTTGAGCCCAGGAGGCTGAGGCTGCACTGAGGCATGTTTGTGCCACTGTACTCCAGCCTGGGTGATAGTGAGACTCTGTCTTAATATAAAATAAAATAAATACAAAATGTAATTTTTGAAATAAGAAACTCAGTAGGTAGATTAGACATCAGAAGAGGGAATTAATTGATTAGACAATTGTCTCCAAAAACGTAAGACACAATGTTACACAGAGACACATGAGGATGGATGATAGGGCAGAAATAGGTGGGGTGGTGGAGAGAGATATCAGAATGAGGTGTAAAATATGTCTTAGTGGAACCAGAAGGAAATATTATATTAGAAAGTGAGAGAGAGGCTGGGTGTGGTGGCTCACACCTGTAATACTAACACTTTGGGAGGCTGAGGCAGGTGGATCACTTGAGGCCAGGATTTCGAGACCAGCCTGGCCCACGTGGTGAAACCCCATCTCTGTTGAAAATACAAAGGTCAGGCAGCATGGTGGCTCATGCCTGTAATCTCAGCACTTTGGGAGGCAGAGGTGGGCGGATCACTTGAGGTTAGGAGTTTGAGATCAGCCTGGCCAACGTGGTGAAACCCTGTCTCTACTAAAAATACAAAAATTAGCCGTGTGTGGTGGCATGCACCTGTATTCCCAGCTACTCAGGAGGCTGAGGGAGGAGAATTGCTTGAATCCGGGAGGTGGAGGTTGCAGTGAACCAAAATCGTGGCACTGCACTTCAGCCTGGGCAACAGAGCGAGACTGTCTCAAAAAAAAAAAAAAAAAATTACAAAGATTAGCTGGGCATGGTGGTGGGCACCTGTAATTTCAGCTACTTGGGAGGCTGAGGCATGAGAATTGCTTGAACCTGGAAGATGGAGTTTGTAATGAGCTGTGATTGCACCATGCACTCCAGCTTGGGTGACGAGAAAAGCACCATCTCAAAAACAAAGAAATAAAAACACAAAGTGAGAGAAATAGAAGTTCTTAAGGTGATAGAAACTCTAAAGGTCATAGAAGCAGTGCACATAAATCAATCACAACAAATGTAAATGGACTGAAATTAAACTGATTGAATTAATAAAACAAAATCCAGCCATTTTAGTCCATCATATTTAAAATACGAAGATGCCAAAAGATTGTAAGTTTTTATAAAGGAGAGAGACTGATAAAGATATGCCAGTGTACATTAACCAAAAGCAAGTGATGTAGCTGGGCACAGTGGCTCATGCCTGCAATTCCAGCACTTTAGGAGGCCGAGGTGGGTGGATCACTTGAGGTCAGGAGTTCGAGACCAGCCTGACTAACATTGTGAAAACATGTCTCTACTAAACGCACAGATATTAGCTGGATGTGGTGGCATGTGCCTGGAATCCCAACTACTAGGGAGGCTGAGGCAGGAGTGGGAGGTTGCATTCAGCTGAGATCACACCACTGTATTCCAGCCTAAGCAACAGAGTGAGACTTCGTCTCAAACAAGTGATGAAGCTTTAATATCAAAGAAAATAGGATTTTGGAACAGTGTCTGTAGCATGCAACTGTCTGCGAGGGAAAGCCAGGGACAGTGGCTCATAACAGTGGGCTGTCCACTGTGGTTTAAAGAACATACCAGGAGGCTGAGGCAGAATTGCCTGAACCCAGGAGGCGGTGGTTGCGGTGAGCCGAGATCTCGCCATTGTACTCCAGCCTGGGTAACAAGAGTGAAACTCCGTCTCAAAAAAAAAAAAGAAGAACATACACGAAATTAATAATAGTGGCTAACTTGTGGAGGAAGGGGGATGAATAGGAGGAAACTGGGTGGTTAGGGGACAAGTAGGCAGAATTTTACTTAGGATATAGACATTTTTGAGTGTTGTGATGTCTGAATTTACTACGCAAAAAAAAAAAAAAAAAAATTCTGTGACATCTTTTAGTAGATAGATGTGCACCACTACGGAGAATGCTGATGGTATATTAATTGGAAGTTAAGATATAGATTGGCTGTATTTAGGGTCACAAAAGTAATCCTAGATTTGGCTTCTTAAAAAGATTGTATATTTTTACTAAAAAAGGACTTCTTTAGTAAATGGCATAGTGCCAATTACAGGCATTCCTTTTTTTTTGTGGAGTATACTAACTTTATTCTACAAGCAACGAGGGCTTAATACATGTTTTTAAAATAACTTTTACTTTTAAAAAGTTAAGTACATTAGAGGAAACTGAAAAACACAAGAAGCAAAGAACAAAGTCACAATCACAAGCAGTTTATAGTTTGACACATTATTCTAGGTCCTGTGTGTCTGTAGGCAGAATATCCAATTTTGTGGGACTGAGATTGTATAGTATGTATCATGATTTTTCACACATCATGAATATTTACCAATTCAAAATCCCAAAACTATATGAGCATTTTGATGACCAAAAATACACTACACTAACTCAGTCTGTTAAAAAAATGTAATTCTGTCTTTCTTGGGATAAAAATTTCATAGAAGACGAAAATAGCAACATGCCTCTAGATAAAAGCATTGGCAGAGTTCCGATTTAAATACTGCATTCCTTTAATGCTCAATTTAAAATGAAGCATACAGCAATAGAATACACTAAGTATAACGCTTCTAAGAGAGCTCATTAGCAGATTTATACATTAAAATATTAGCAAGGTATATTTCCATTGAATTATTTAATATATTCCTATAGTATAGCCACAAGAGATGCATACATTAATGGCTATCATCAAAATGTAAATATGGACACATCTGCATACATCTCTTCCTTTATAGTTCCTTCTGCCCCCTGCTGCCAACTAATTAACAAGTCCGTTTAACATACATCGGGCACTTCTAAGCACCTAGATAAACTAGATGTTTCAAGTAAGGAGTTAATTTGTCCCTAGGTACACAGCAGTCTTGAATAAACTGCAAACATGTAACAACAGTTATAATTTGAAAGAGTCTTCTAAATGTGAACATTTTGGCGTAGAACCCTTCCCATATCCATCAAGGCAGTGGGCAAGAATGCTCAAATTTTCAGAAGACAATCTTTCCTAGACTCATAAAACAAAATGTACAAAACATTAGGTTACTAACTCTACTTCTGTCGTATACTGGCAACCTCGTTAACATCTAGAAAGACTAGATGTTGTTAAAGTTAGGACTCGTTTGTCCTTTATGTACACTATATGCACAGGTAAGTAAAACAAAATGCACAGAGATAGTATTTCATCTTGCCTTGCTGTAAGCAGGGTGGCATAGAACTGTCTGTACCTCCCCCTCCTTTCTGCTCCCCTGAACCACTGCACACACAGTGAGTATTACTCAACAGGTGATTTGGCCATTCCCCCCAAAAAACATTTCCTACAAATTGTAACAAAAAGATAATTACAAAACGTGATTTTACTACCTTTGATTTTAACATCAGGCACTTCGGAACATGTAAAAACAGACGTTTCAAAAAAGTTTAGCATTGTCAACTATATGTACAGTAGTGAAGAATAAAATGCACACAAAACAATGGCTAAAATATGAAAATGTCTTCTAAATATGACCAGTCTAGCATAGAACCTTCTTCTCCTCCTTCTCAGGTCTTCCAGCTCCATGTCATCTAACCCACTAAACAAACGTGGACGTATTGCTTCCAGAGGCCATCTAACAACATTTCCAAAACTCATCTCCAGAAGACATGTGTGTTCTATCATTCCTTTTAAACAAGTGAGAATTTACAAGATGTGTGGTTTTCTAACTGTACTTTATCATACGTCAGCAGCCTCTACATCTAGAATGGCTAGATGTGACATGTTTTCTATTAAAAGGTTGGGGTGGAGTTGAGAGCAGCTTTTTCATATTATATACACAGGCTTTCCATAAACGGCCAGTAAATCTTCCCAGAGGGTGGTGGGCATTTCCAATGGGCCAAACGTGGCCTGTTATTCTACCATTTCTCTCTTCCGACAGCAAGGTCTGGTAGAATGAAGACTAACGCTCGATGGCCGCTAACCTTTCCACCCGGCCCGTTCCACCCGTCTTTGTTCGGAACTTCACTCATCTCCCAGGCTTGTCAAGGCCTTTATCCGTTGTCAGGACTAAGTATGTCTCACCCAATGGGGACAGAGTGGTCACTGGGGACCCAGATCTGCATGACTCCGTGGCCTAAAGAGGCCGCCGAACCTGCCTGCGTCCTTAGGCTGCCTTCCCTGGCCCTCTGTAACCTAACGGCCTCTGCTGCGCAGCATTAGAGCGGCCACCATGTTTCCTGGTCCACCATTCTTGCCGCCACCCAACGGTGTTGCATCCGGGCAGCTCAGCTGGGGCTTTGTCGAGGCCTGGCACACTTGGGCTGGGAGACCCAGTGGCCAGTGGGGTCCAGGCTGGGGTACGGGCTGGGAGAAGCCGCTGCTGTCAACAGTCACCGAAGTGGGGTAGGGTAAAGAGGTTCGCCACGGCTTCAAGTCTTGAGCCTGGCCAGGCCAGTGGGCAGCCACAGTGGAGGCGTCCAGTGTCTGAAGGGCAGAGGGCACGGCCTGTCCTTCAGACAGGCTCACCCTCCGGCCCAGGGGGAGCTCAGGGCGCTCTGCTTCTCTCTGCACTCCAATGGGCATTCTTTAGATTTGTAACTTAAAATGTCATTTGTATGTGTAGTCATGGAAGCTTAATATTTTCTTATCTGAAAGTAATATTTTATAGGGTTTTTTTAATAGACATGATGAGGAAGAGTTTGAGTTTTATTAACATCCAGACAGTGTTTTTTAACTTGATTCATCAACGTGGAGATGGACTCTAGAACCTGAAAGCTTTGTACTTGTCCAGTAGTAGGAAGACATATAATAATGAACTGTGAGGCTTATTGATGTTTATTGGGATACAGTTTATTTATGTTATTCTTATAAAATTGTAGAGAATAATGAAATTGAGAAATGAGGTTATTACAGTTGCTTTTGAAATGGAAATATTCAGTGTCCTGTGTATTTTTTTTTTTTTTTTGAGACGTTGTCTCTGTCACTGAGATTGCACCACTTAGGCTGGCATGCAGTGGTGTGATCTCAGCTCACTGCAGCCTATGCCTCCTGAGTTCATGCCATTCTCTTGCCTCAGCCTCCTGAGTAGCTGGGACTACAGCTATGCGCCACCACGTCCAGCTAATTTTTGTATTTTTATAGAGACGAGGTTTAACCATTCTGGCTAGGCTGGTCTCAAACTTCTGACCTCAGGTGATCCGCCTCTCAAAGTGCTGGGATTATAGGTGTGAGCCACTGTGGCTGTCCTGTCCTGTGTACCTTTAGCTACAGGGGCGATCTGTTCATAAATTTATTGTGATAATTTTTACCTAATTAGTTTTGATTTAAACTGTGTAATTACTTTCAGAGTCATTATAATCTAGCAAGAGCCCAACAGTCCTATTGTACAGATACATAAGAAAAATGCTAAGTTTAATTCAATGTATTTATTGCCATTTAAGAAGTTTTATATAATGTATTGATATATAACCTGTTATTTTTCTGTTTTTGGTTTAGTTTGTTAAAAAGTACTGTCACCGTAGTGAAAAAAACTTAACTTGTGCTGCATACAAAATATTTTAATGAATCTTTAATACTATGCTTCAATCAGAAATCTTTGTATCCTGTGCCCTTGTCCTAGGTATCTTGGAATCAGAATCAAGATTTTTTTTTTTTAGTAGATTAATGAATGACTAACTTTACTTACTTGAAATTAATGGTCTTAGGTTACGGGTTGAATTAAAGGGAACTCTTTATAAATGGAGTTGTTGTTGTTGTAACTGGGTAAATGCAATCAGGATCATAATCTGCCATTTCTGAAACATCTTCAGACTATATACTTAATGCTTGTGACAATCTTATATAGGTGTCTATTCAGTAAGAATAGTTGTCATTTCCGTTTATACCTGAGTATTGAGCTGTCAATTTTAAAAAAATTAAATCTTTCTTAAAATATCATTCATAAACTTTAGTGGTCTTTAAATTGTGTTGACATCTTATTCACAGTGCACATATTTTGAGTTTTTGTCTCTAACAGTGAGATTTTAAGAAAAACTAGGCTTGAAACATTTTATAAATGACCAGACAAGAAATAATTGTATAGAGCCTGTTAAAGTCATGTAGAACATATTTTTAGATACCATGTTATACACTGCACTGAAATTATTTTTCTGTCTCCTTGTATTACAAGGTTTTATTTTACTAAGTAAATAAACCCATCAGATTTTCTCCGTTATTTGGTGGTGGATTAAGGAAAACGGGGGAGGGGGTCAGGGAGGCAGGGGAATAGTTCAGCTTCTGGCTGGGTGAGGAAAGGTAGGACCTGCATATAACATTTCTTTTGAAGGTTCCAGGTAAATCTCTAATTAGAGTGATTTTTTCCCCTGTACTTGCATTTCATTTATTTCCAAAGAAGCCGCATGGACCTTAAAGGAATAAAAAAAAAGTAATCATTTTGCTAAGCTTTCCTATATTGACCACAACGCACATACGTTCCATTTGTTACCTTCCATTTGATGGGAGAACAGTGCTTGCAAATAGAATAATGTCAGTGAGCTTGTTAAGCAAACAGAAAACGGAACTTACCTGGAATTAGAAGTTAACAAGAAGTTTTCAAAAACGTAGTAGTTGACAAGTCAAGAAAACAGGAGAATCATTTCTGTGATCCCTAATAGTAAAATATATCAAAACAAAGGTAGATTATAAATAGAGGCATTTTCTAAATTAAACTCAGGGCTGCCGGAATAGAGAGACAATATAAATATAATACAATGTGTTTTTCATTAATGTTCAAAACTTGTCGTATTCTGATGTAGAAATTTGCCCCACTAATGAAATGGAATTTGAAAATTGGGATACAGATACTCTGGGAAGAATGATACAATTGAACTTAATTATAGCAACAATCTAGTCCCTGGACCAGATCCAAGAAAACAAAGCAGAAGCATACTCAAATAGGCTTAAGAAGAATGCATTTAGCACATGGTGAGAAGGTCTATTCTGATTGAGTGGTTTTCAGTTCCAGGTTTACCTGGAAGCTTTTCCACACCCACACTTTTTAGATATTCTGATTTGTTAGGCCTGAGTCAAGGCCCAGTTTTGGTATTTCTGCTTGTTAATTTGCTATAGGTAATTCTGATATATAGAAAGACTGAAGACTAAGAACAATTTCCCATATATGGTGACAACCTCTACCTTGAATAGTCCACATTGTAATTACCCTAATTGCAACATCAACAGTTCCCAAACTAGTGTTCTACAAATAACAGTCTTGTGAATGCTCTTTGAAAACAAAAGTCATGGCCATGTAAATTCCTTGTTCTGAGAAGTCCTGTTTAATTTAACAAGTGTTTCCAAATTTATTTATTTATTGTTACCTCTATTACTTATATTACATTTTTAACCTAGTAACTATTAACCCCATACTTATAGAAACAATGCCCCAAGTGTGTTCTGTGATGTCACTATTATTTTACAGTAACATCCACTATTTTACTTCTTTATTTTTTGAGATGGAGTCTTACTCTGTTGCCCAGGCTGGAGTGCAGTGGCATGATCTCAGCTTACTGCAACCTTCGCTTCTCTGGTTCAGGCAATTCTCTTCCCTCAGCCTCCTGAGTAGTTGGGACTATAGTGTGTGCCACCACACCCAGCTAATTTTTTGTATCTTTTTTAGTAGAGATGGAGTTGTATCATGTTGGCCAGGTTGGTGTCAAGCTCCTGACTTCAAGTGATCTGACCGCCTTAGCCTCCCCTAGCGCTGGGATTATAGGCATTAGCCATCGTGCCCGGCCTTCCATAAGGCATGTAAAGCCACTTCCAAAGGTAGAATTGACAGACTTGCCAAAAGTCAGTGGCAAGATGTCTAGACCTGCCTTGAGGTCTTTAAGTTTCAACCCTCTCCCTCAACCCCAAGCCAATCAGTTGTCCTCCCATAATAACATCATATAGTAATTAGCAGGTGGTCCATGACTTCTCCAGATCAGCTCCAAAAAGATACAGACTATTAACAGGGGAAACATTGTGAACTGAAATGTTCAACAGATAATATTAAAAACATTCGTATGGGTCAGTGTTACATCAAAAATGTATTTCTCACCAACAACATCTTCTATAAAATTCTGTCTGATCTGATGACAATTTAACTGATTTTTAAATGCATAGAATTATATCAAAGAAATTCCACTCTATAGGCCCAAATACAATCTCTGAGCCTCAGGTCTTCCCCATCTTCACCTCCATTTCACATTTGAGTATCTATATTTGAGAGAACATCACTCATTTTTTGTTTTGGGAGTTGTCGATAACCTTGGAAGTTTTTTGAGGGCAAGGATCAAGGATCTTACAGCTTTTAGCATGCCTCTGTGTACCAAACAGTTTTTCAATAAATATGTTACCCCACTTTGTCATAAAATAGATGGCATGCTTAGCTGTACAACACAATGTGATTTGATCACACCCAACCTATGAATGGGTAATAGTACTGAATCTGTTTAAAAACAACATTCCATATTCTCTTTGCATCTTTGTAGCATATTTGTTTGGTTTCTAGTAATGTTGGTTCTATCCATATGTTTTTAGATCATGTAACGATGTTGTGCCCAAGTAAAATTATACCAAGAATTTTATGGGGAAAAGCCAATGCACTGCTCCTACTTTTTATTAAAATTTCAGACATTTGAAAAAGTAAATTTAGTATTGGACAGTGAGTTTTATTTTGGAGGTTGTAGGAGATTGGGGTACTTGGAGGAGACTCCGTTGGCTACTTGTGTATGGGGGTGGGGAAAATGCACAAGTTTACAAAATCTTGTAAATTCTCACAGGGCTTGGTTTTGTGACCTTACAAAAACTGGGATTGTTTTTCTAGTTCTCAGTGGAGAAATGTAAGCTGTGAGTTTAACATCATAATTACTGTGTTTTGATCAGGACATAGCAAGCTTTTGTGGAACAAATTCTATTGCTTTCTTTATCCTGTTTGTAACAAGTATATATATATCAGTATGTTTCCTTGTATTTTGCTATGGGAAAGTCGTATCTTGCATATAGAGAAGTCTATTAGAGTGAATTAAAAGACATCTTTACTCTGACATGGCAGCATTGTCTAATGGCCCATGATTACTAAGCCTTGTGAAAAAAATCACTCTAGAGCTCTGCGTGGCGATGTGCGCCTGTAATCCCAGCCACTTGGGAGGCTGAGGCAGGAGGATTACTTGAACCTAGGAGTTCAAGGCCAGCCTGGGTAACATAATGAGACCCCATGTCAGTCAATCAACCAATCAATCAATTACACTAAAAATTAGAGCAAGATTTTAAAACTCCCAACAAATGTTTGTGTGTCTAAAACAATGAAAAGAGTTTATGACAGAGTTACAGCAGTCACATCAGAGAAAAATTCTGGACGAGTTCCAAATCTATACCAGTTGTAAATTGCTGTGACTGTAGTTGAAAACCAAAGTTATTTTTGTATAGTCTTTTGGGGTGTATTTCTGTTTAATAATAACATATTTGCAAATTTAGAGGACTCTATGATTGCTTCTTAGAGACCTTAACCTTTAGGAGCTAACAGTTAAATGGAAGGGAGAACTAGAAACCAAAAATTTAATGCAGAGAGTGAGATTCTGCAGTACAGGGTGTGTACAGGGTGCAGAGAAGCACTATGGCACTGTGTTCTGGCTTCATCTTCTGCCCTAGACTTCCCAAAGTCCATTTCCTGAACCTGCCTGATTTTTTTTTCCCCTCCATCTCAAAATTATATTGCCATTCTCTCCCCTTGCAAGCCTTTTCCACACCTTATGTGCCCAGTAAAGTTCTGTTTCTTCAAAATCTTCTTGAAGCCTGCCTCTACCTCATTGAAATAATTGTTTTGTCTACATCTCTGTTATTTCTTTATAAATATTGAGAGTCAATTCTCATTATTTTCAGTAATTCTATAAAGTTGCCTAGAACACTGAGTTAATCAAATACTAAACCCTTGTTCCCAGGGAAAGTATGTACATATGTACCTATCTCACATAGGTTATAATCTGAATTCCTAAGAACAACTCATCCTGGTAGATTAAATTTTTTTCATTTACAAAAGAATAAAGGAAGTATAGAAGTGTTAAGTGATTTTTCTCAAGGCCACTCCACTAACAGGTACCAGAGTCAAGATTCAGAGCTCGCCCAGTTGACTCCAGAACCAGAGCTTCTTGCACTACCTTGCACTGCCCTCGTCTCTGCCCTCTGGTCATCTTTCTATGAGATTCAGAAGAACGCAGATCATCTTATTTGACCTTAGCTTGGGAAATGTGCAAGGAGTGGCAGATTTTTCACTACTGTGTGTATAGTCATGAGTCACCTTGAAAGCTCACCAAGTATTGGGGATTACAAAGACATTTTAGTAAGTAAGCAAATGTGCCAATATGGGATCCACAAATAACGAGGATCAACTGTATGTGTAAGTGACTGCTAGGGTCTGTTTCATAGTAACACCTTCCACCGGCAATGTGGAATGTTTCTTTAGCTTCTTTGATAGTTCAATTATTTATTTATTCATGTATTTATGAAGCACTTAGCATATGAAATAAATCTCCAAAGAGTACATTTGCTTTGCTCAAGGGAGTCTTTGGCTACATACTGCTGTACATAATGAAAACTATAAAGAGGGCTAACTTTTTTGCCTTGTGACCTTTTAATTTAAATAGAGGCTTCATCACAGGCACATTCCGAAATGAACTTGGTGTGTGTAGTTGGTTATGTTTGGCATTATTGTTTGTACTAATATGATAGGGATGACTTCAGTGTTCGCCAACAGGAAACTGGTTAGGTAAACAGTGGTACATCCAAATGATGGAATACTGTGTAGTTGTAAAGAGGAGGCTGGGCGCAGTGGCTCACACCTATAATCCCAGCACTTTGGGAGGCTGAGGGGGCAGATCACGAGGTCACGAGATCGAGACCATCCTGGCCAACATGGTGAAACCCCGTCTGTACTAAAAAATACAAAAATCAGCTGGGCATGGTGGCGTGCGCCTGTAGTCCCACTACTTGGGAGGCTGAGGCAGAATTGCTTGACCCCAGGAGGCAGAGGTTGCAGTGAGCTGAGATCACGCCACTGTCCTCCAGCCTGGTGACAGAGCAAGACGCTGTCTCAAAAAAGAAAAAAAAGAGTAAGGAAGACCTATGTACTCATGTAGAAAAACTGAGATATATTGTTTTTAAAAAGGAACAAGGAATTATGGTATCATGTATATAGTATACCACTTTTTGTGTCGTGAGAGAAGAGTAGAATAACAATATACCTGTGTGCTTTCAAAGATAAATTCTGAAATGATATATAAAAGCCTTATATATTAGTATATCTAGTTAAAAGTGGGTGTGGAGGGAATTGAATAAGAATAAATGGGATTTTGCCACAAGTTTTTATATATACATTTTCAAATTTTTTGAAGTATGTATGTGTACACATTACCCTGTTTAAATATAAGTGAATGAAGGAATGAAGTGGGATTATAAGAAAGAGCTAACGAGAAGATCTAAGGGGATGCCAATCTTTTTAGTACCCAGTGGGTATGAATACATGGCAACAGCAGCAAAAAATTAGAAGAGTAGCCCCAGAAAGGTCGGGAGTCAGCCTTTCCTTTGTCGTTTTGTGATTTTCATAGATTTTAAAAAATACTCTAAGAATTATTATTATTTTTTTTGAGATGGAGTCTCGCTCTGCCACCCAGGCTGGAGTGCAGTGGCGTAATCTTGGCTCACTTGCAACCTCCAGTTCCTGGATTCAAGTGATTCTCCTGCCTTAGCCTCCCAAGTAGCTAGGACTACAGAAGGGTGCCACCACACCCAGCTAATTTTTTGTATTTTTAGTAGAGACAGGGTTTTACCGTGTTAGCCAGGATGGTCTCGATCTCCTAACTTTTTTTTTTTTTTTTTTTTTTGAGACGGAGTTTCACTCTTGTTACCCAGGCTGGAGTGCAATGGTGCAATCTCGGCTCACCGCAACCTCCGCCTCCTGGGTTCAGGCAATTCTCCTGCCTCAGCCTCCTGAGTAGCTGGGATTACAGGCACGCGCCACCGTGCCCAGCTAATTTTTTGTATTTTTAGTAGAGACGGGGTTTCACCATGTTGACCAGGATGGTCTCGATCTCTTGACCTCGTGATCCACCCGCTTCGGCCTCCCTCACACCTGGGATTACAGGGTGAGCCACCGCGCCCGTCCTATTAATGAAGTTTTTATCTTAAGCATATATTCCAAAAACTGATTTACATTCAAAATACTGTGTACTTGTGCTGCTTGCTGAAGCCGGCGCTGCTCTGTGGGGCCCTGGCCGTGCCCGGCCGGCACCGTGTGTGTGTCCTAGGATGACTGGCGCTGTGCGCACTCCATGCACGAGTTTTCCGCCAAGGACATTGACGGGCACATGGTTAACCTGGACGAGTACTGGGGCTTCGTGTGCATCGTCACCAACGTGGCCTCCCAGTGAGGCAAAACCGAAGTGAACTACACTCGGCTTGTCGACCTGCACGCCCGATATGCTGAGTGTGGTTTGTGGATCCTGGCCTTCCCCTGCATCCAGTTTGGGAAGCAGGAGCCAGGGGGTAATGAAGAGATCAAAGAGTTTGCCGCTGGCTAAAATTCAATTCGACTTGTTCAGCAAGATCTGGAACGGGGATGACGCCCACCCGCTGTAGAAGTGGATGAAGATCCAGCCCAAGGGCAAGGGCATCCTGGGAAATGCCATCAAGTGGAACTTCACCAGGTTCCTCATCGACAAGAATAGCTGTGTGGTGAAGCGGTACGGACCCATGGAGGAACCCCAAGTGATAGAGAAGGACCTGCCCTGCTATTTCTAGCTCCACAAGTGTGTGGCCCTGTCCAAGCCCCTGCCCTTGCCCTTGGAGCCTTCCACCGGCACCCATGACGGCCTGCCTGCAAACCAGCTGATGGTAGAGCAGACCTGAAAACCGGGCATGCACCCCACAGGAGGAAGGTCCTGTGGTCCGCTGGGCTTGGCTTGGCGCCCCCACCCCTGGCTGCCTTGTGGGAATAAACAAGACAGATTGGCAAAAAAAAAAAAAAAAAAAATTACTGTGTACTTTTCTCAACTGAAATACACACATTAGACTCAATATTTTCATTCATGGCTGTGGATTTTACAAGATAGCATGCTCATTAAATTTACATAAATCAAGTTGAATGGGACAGTTAACACTATGGAGAGTCAGATTAAATTTAAAATGATCGACTATTTGCAGAATTAAGTGAATATGTACAAGTCGCAAGTTTCTGAAGATGGTCAGGTGGAAGGATATTCAGCCAAAAAGGAAAAACACTACAGACAGGCAAAGCATGACTAGGGTTACAAAACGGATATGGGAAATAAAGTAGTATAAAGCATCAAAATATTCATATGAGCCAATAAATATAATATTGGAAGATAAATTTGGAAGCATTGCAATAGCAAAACCAGACATTAATTCCTATTAAGTCAACAGCAATCATCTAATTCAAATAATGTTATGTTTTGTTTTAGGGGTTAAAGCTAACATAATTATCTTTGGTAGCAGTCTCTGTTTTGCTAGCATTATATTACTAAAGCCACAAATTGGTTAAGCATCTTAAGAGGTCCACAACGATCCCCCTCATTCCCTCTCTTATGACAGAGCTCAACATCGTATAAGCACAATTTTATCCAGAGTTCTGCTAAAAGTGTAATTCTGTTCTTTTTTTTTTTAAGACGGTTTCACCATATTGGTCAGGCTGGTCTTGAACTCCCAACCTCAGGTGATCCGCCCACCTTGGCCTCCAAAGTGCTTGGATTATAGGCCTGAGCCACCGCGCCGGGCCAATTCTGTTCTTAACCACATTTGAATTCACCTTCGACATCACACAATATCAAATGGTTGGGCTTTTTGTTACACTAAGGTTTTTCACTACCATAAATGGCTCAGTGCCAAATAAAAAAATAGACGATTTTATGACCTCATTCAAGGTCATTATACACTGTCAAATAGGGCAGACTAAATGAATCTTAACCTAGTTCTGCAACCTAATAAATTGTATTCTTAGATTGGATTTAGATATAATTAGAAATCTAAAAGATAAATAGTGCCAAGAACCTGGAACTTAGAATTAACTTTATTACTATTTTTCTATATTCAAGATATCTGTAAATACATTGAAGCTATAAAATAGCTTAAAACAGCTAGAAAATCTTTTGCCTATTAGTTTTACTATGTCCTTATATAAACCTTTAAATAATAATTTTTAACTTAAGTGTTTATAAAAAGTGTGGTTTTTGGTTTTACCAATAGTGGGGTTGAATTTCCACTGTACTATCCAATAGATACTGGATTACTCAATTCCCATTAAAATTAAAAGGAAGTCAGATGGCTAGCTCATTAACAGAACAGCAGCCAGAGAATGACATTTATCCAGAGATTGATAATGAATTCATAAACACTATTTTTTTGGCCAAATATTCTAACTGGAGAATATGGGCAGAGTCTAAACGATCATAATTGAAAAACAAATTTCAGTTTATCCTAATGTGTTATCAAGGAAACCCCCCCCAACACACACACACACACACACACACACACACTGAGGGAAAAAAATTAAATATCACTTTTCTTTTTTTTTCTCCAGCAACAAGGAATCAGTGAACAGAGGAGACTGAGATGAGGGAGCAGTGAGAGAGGAGGGAAACCAGAAGGGGCTTCAGGGAGGAGGGAGTGGTCAATGAGCAGGGTGCGGGGGTGAGAGCAGAGAGCTGTGGCTCTGTGGAGGCCATGGAGGACCCTGATGAGAGCTATTGGGGCAGGGGGCAAAGCTGGCTGGAGCCTAATAGGAGGTAATAAAGAAGAATTGGAACCAGGGAGCACAGAGGACTCTTTAAAGGAATTTTACTGTAAAGGCAGGCAGAGAGTAGGGTAAGTCTAGAGAAGGAAGTGGAGTTAATTGCATTTTTTAAAGAGGGAGAAATTATAATTGACTTGTATGCAAATGGGAAAAAATCAGAGTGCAAAAAATAGTTGGAGTGGTGTCCTTGTGTAAGAGAGACGGGATGGAAATCTGATATGTAAATGGAGGGGGTGTGAGTTTAGATAGAAGCACAGACAGTCTGAACAGGAAGGGAGGCTGAGGACATGGTACAGATACAAATAGGTGGATGGGTGTGATAGAGGGGGGGCTCACAGATGGTCTCTTCTGGTTTTTATTTTTCTAGTACAATATGAAGTCAGATCAACTGAGGGTTAGGATGGGAGAGATGATGGAGGTTGAAGGAGAAAGAAGATGTTAAGAAGGTGGTCTAGAAGGAGTAGATGGGGTGGGGTACATGGTCCAGGGAAATAGAATTTTGTGGCTAGGCAGAATTAAAAGACCTGTTGAGGTTAGTGGTCATTAATTGAATTTAGCAGTGTTTTTTTTTTTTTCTAGTTTGTTCTGCTGTGATGGTGTAGGTACCAGAAGAGGTGAAAAATTGGGTTTAACCAAGAGTTTGGTGGTTTAAAGAAATTTACCCGAGGAACTACATGCTCTTGACATTTTGGTGTGGGAGGCTGGATAGGATAGTCATTTTTATTAATTTTTTTCGTGTGTTTACTGGTCCATTTAGATACTCTGTATCTTCTAGTCTCAGTTCTTTATCACATATTTTGCTAGAAAATAGATCATTTTTTATGATATTTTTTGTTTTGTTCTATATTTTCCCCAGCAGAACTTTGGAGATGCCCAGCGCATCTGGGCATTGAACTTAACTCGGTGATCTAGGCCTCCAGTTTGCCATTTGCCCTGCTCTCTTCCAGTCTGTGGAAATGTTAGAGAGAAGCATGTCAGCAGGAAGGTTGCATGGTTTGTCAGCTGTGTTTCATCAGTACAGTGTTAGCTACAGTCCGGTCCCCAGGAGTGAGGCAGGATAGGTAGTCAAGGAAGCGACCATGTTCTTGGGAGGCAGCAACCATGATGACTGTATAGTCAACACAATAAGCCTCAGCATTTGCATTGTAACTGAGCTCATTCAAGCAAAGCTATCTTCAGTAGGGACCTTCCCCTCTAAAGAGCAGATGCATTTTGATTTTATCTGTCCTCAGACTGATGATTTGCTCATTGTAATAGTAAAAGACACAAATTCTGCGTGGAGAATTAAGATGCTAATGAGACATGCAACATATGAATAAACATGTATGGCTACTGCACATGTGCACCCAGAGGATCCCCCCAGAACATTCTTACTAGCAACACGTCTTCCTGCCTTCTTATGAATAATCATGTAAGACTCCCAAAAAGGGAGTCCCCTAGTGCCAGTCTTTGCTGTTTCATCCTTACACACAGCCTGCCTTGAACTCCCTCAGGGTGTACTGTTGTTTTAGTCTATTCTTAGGCTGCTATGAAGAAATACTTGAGACTTGGTAATTTATTAAAAAAAGAAGATGTTTAATTGACTCACAGTTCTGCATGGCTGGGGAGGCCTCAGAAAACTTAAAATCATGGTGGAAGACACCTCTTCACAGGATGGCAGGAGAAAGACTGAAAGCCAGCAAAGGAAGTGCCAGACACTCATAAAACCATCAGATCTTGTGAGAACTCACTATCATGAGAACAGCATGGGGGAAATTGCCACCATGATTTAATTGCCTCCACCTGGTCCTGCCCTTGGTATGTGGGGATTATGGGGATTATAATTCAAGGTGAGATTTGGGTGAGGACACAGAGTCAAACCATATCAACTGTCTATTCCGCACCTAACTTTCAAAATATTTTCTTTTGCAATAGATTACTCTATGCTATACCTCCTTTGCTGTGTGTCTCCTGTTTAAATTATTTTAAGCCAAGAATACAAGAACCAAGATATCACATCAGCCATTAACAGGAGCTGCTGATTTCTAGGCTTGCTCAGAATCATGAAGTTCTTGGCTGATCTCATCAGTGGTCATTTAGCTTTTGTGTATAAGACAAGTAGGAGAAGATTATCAATCTGGTAAATTAAAATAACACTCTGGGCTGGGCGAGGTGGCTCATGCCTGTAATCCCAGCATTTGGGGAGGCTGAGGTGGGAGGATCACCTGAGGTCAGGATTTCAAGACTAGCCTGGTCAACATGCAGAAACCTTGTCTCTACTGAAAATACAAAAATTAGCCAGGTATGATGGTGCACACCTGTAATCTCAGCTACTTGGCAGGCTGAGGTAGAATTGCTTGAACCCAGAAGGTGGAGGTTGCAGTGAGCCGAGATTGTGCCACTGTACTCCAGTGTGGGCAACAGAGTGAGACTCCATCTCAATGAATGAATGAGTGAATAAAATAACACCCTGAGCTGAACCACTGTGGATATTTTTTGTTTGTTTTCTATAGGAGTGAAGATGGTGGGGTGAATCGAGCTTTTTTTTTTTTTTTTTGAGATGGAGTTTCGATCTTGTTACCCAGGCTGGAGTGCAATGGCGCCATCTCGGCTCACCGCAACCTCCGCCTCCTGGGTTCAAGCAATTCTCCTGCCTCAGCCTCCCGAGTAGCTGGGATTACAGGCACGCGCCACCACGCCCAGCTAATTTTTGTATTTTTTGGTAGAGACGGGGTTTCACCATGTTGACCAGGATGGTCCTGATCTCTTGACCTCGTGATCCACCCACCTCGGCCTCCCAAAGTGCTGGGATTACAGGTGTGAGCCACCGCGCCCGGCCTGAATCGAGCTTTATAACAATTCCCTGAGCCTCTCATAATGTGGCCAATTACCATGCACAACCTCTCCCAAAAGAAATGGGCAAGGCCTGGCTGGTTTCTCAAGTAAATCCGTTTGAACTCCCCCAAACGCTCATTATACCTAATTTTTCACCGGCTCCTTGCCTGTACAAATGCAGGAGAAAAACACACAATGATGCATGAACAGCATGCATGAAGTTGCACGAAAAAAAATTATTCAGCTTCCCCTAGATGTCTTCTGATGGGAAGACTTCAAGAAATTGGAGCTCATGATTTGCAAAGGAGGGGAAACATAAAAAGTAAACAAACTAGGCAAGGCATGGTGGCTCACACCTGTAATTCCAGCACTTTGGGAGGTGGAGGT